CTCTCTGCCTCAGCAGAAAGTGTGAGCTGATAGGGGGAGATGATGACAAATTGCAACACTACAATGTAAACTGAATCCAGTACATTGTAGTGTGTATTTTCACACACACTATTTCTCCATCCCCTTTGTTTCGCCCCTCCCCCTTCCAGAATCCAATGCTGAATACTCAGTGAAATCACAGTTATATTCACTATCTGCCTTCAGGAGAAATGCATTGCGTATGCATGGGACAATTTACCAGTACACAAATACCATACACTAGGTCTGCAAATAATCTATCACAAAAATGGTGAAGACATAACAAAATGGAACAAGAAAAATGTGTACGTCTATCATGTCTTCACATTTACAATGTACATTGTTTTAGTACTATAATACAATAATGCATTATTTATAATCATAATTTTTTAAACATTAAGAATATATTAGTTATTAAGTTCTGCAAATAATCCAACACAGCATACAAAAAAAAGAAAAGAAAAGAAAAATCAGCTGGAAAAAAATAATTGCAGTTTCAAATAAGATAATTTTTTTTTAAATAAGAGAAAAAAATCTGGCAATAGAATAAGATAAAAAGTATGTATTCAAGATATATTCTCTGAATAATTTTAAATACTATTTTATATAATATTATGTATATAATAACAAATATAATATTTGTTTTAAGGATGTTTTACTGAAAAACAAAACAAGATATTGATTAACAATAGGATCTGCAAATGACCCTGATATATGTCAGCAATCTTTACCTGTGCAACCCCTCAAACCAAATCCTAGGTCAAAATTAAGCAAAATCTGCAAACCTATAAAATGAAAGTCAGAAATTAGATTTAGCTTCTCAAGTAAATTAAACTTGTTTCAAATATATCTAGATATGTGTAAAACAAATACAATAAATTAAGAATTTAAGAATTTAATAAATTAAGAATTGGGGAAGTCGTGGCCTAATGGTTAGAGAGTCGGACTCGTAGCCCAAAGGTTGCGGGTTCGAGTCTCGTACCGGCAGGGATTGTAGGTGGGGGGAGTGAATGTACAGCGCTCTCTCCCACCTTCAATACCATGACTGAGGTGCCCTTGAGCAAGACACCGAACCCCCAACTGCTCCCCGGGCGCCGCAGCATAAATGGCTGCCCACTGCTCCGGGTGTGTGTGTGTTCACTGCTGTGTGTGTGCACTTAGGATGGGTTAAATGCAGAGCACTAATTCCTAGTATGGGTAACCATACTTGGCCACATGTCACGTCACGTCAGAATAGGATTGTTTTGCAACGTGGGAATAAATTATTTAATATAATAAATCAATTATATCCAGATGTTTTCCGTCACACCTCCTTCAACCTCACTCCATCCATCTACACTTCATAAAACTGCCGTGTTGTTTTTAGATGGCCCCTAGCATCACTGCTCATGATATTCCATACGCATCTCTCTAAGGAGTTCTCCGCAATGCTTCGCTGGAGAAGCGTCACCATAGTAACGCTGCTTCCTACATCACAACATACATTAAGACGGCCTTGTCTCTCCACAGAGCACATCTCCACTGTAAATAAGGTAACAGCACGCCACAAATCCACATTCTGTTTGTCTTTACCGCTTCACAAATGAGCCTTGTTAGCCTGACAGGAGCCTGGCAGCGACTTAAACAAATCACCCATAACCAGCCTGATGCAACTGACCAGTTTGGTACAATGACTTAATCAAAAGCTCAGCGCGCTCCTGCAGGGGGTCCGAACACTTGGCCAAACACATGCTAGTCTCAGGGCATGTGGGGTAATTCTGATGTTACTGACGAGGGAAAGAGGGCTGAGAAGAATGAGGTCTTTTGTTTGAACTCGTCACGAGTGACCGTGTCGTTCTGTGGGGGATTTTTCCATTGACATCATTAAAAGAAGAACATACTTCCTGTGGGCTGATCTGTTATCACAAAAAGATTAAATAGTCCTTAATTTTAGCTAGATCAATAAAAAGCAGGTCAACTAGATCTAGATCAAATGGTTGAATTTGTACTGAGATTTCTGACATTTAATCTTGCCATATTTAAGCACAGTTTATGACATTGTTGATTGTTTTATGAAGCAGATTAAAAGTCTTCATTTGCTCTCAATTTATTATAAATTTTTTTAGATATTTATCTTTTAAATTAGTTTCGTATTCGTTTTTTCTAAATTATGTCCAAGAATGATTACAAATCATCAAAAATATATATTAAAAATATCTAAAAAAGGATATATTAAAAAATATATTTTTAATGTGTAAAAAAGAGCTATTAAAAATACCTGAAAAGTGTTTATTTATTTTCAATTAGGTCAAAAAGAAACATCTGATATTAAAAGATCTAAAAAAGAAAAAGAAAAAGGAAAAGACATGAGAGACCTGAAAAGTATCATTTAACCTCTATTATATCTAATAGAAACAACTGAAATATTACCAATATCTAAATAAAAAAATAGATATTAAAAATAGCAATAATAATAATAATATTAATAATATAAAGATCTGAAAAGTATTAATTTAATCTCAATTATGTCTAAGAAAAATGATTAAAAATATTTACAAATATATATTAAAAAATATATTTTAATGTGTAAAAAAAGAGCAATTAAAAAGGCATGAAAATTACAAAAAAGACCTGTGTTTTTAATTAGGTCTAAAAGAAACAACTGATATTAACATATCTAAAAAAAAATGTTTTAAAGATAAAAAAAAGTATTTATTTAATCTCAATATCTAAGAAAAATTACTGAAATATTACAATTATTGTAAAAAAAAAAAAAAAAAGAGAGATACTAAAAAGATCTGATATTAAAATATCTTTTAAAAGGGAGATACTAAAATGATATCAATTAAATCTCAATGCCTAAGAGAAACAATTGAGTATTACACCTCAAAAATATAAAAGGAAAAAAACTAAGAAACAACTGATATAAAAAAGTAGCAAATTAATCTTATTTCTAAAATAAATAATTTTTTAAAAGTGAAAAGTAGCCTATCCAATTAATCTTAAATCTCTAAGAGCAACAACTGAAATATTAAAAATATATTTATAAAAAAAAAATAGATCTGAAAAATTATCAATTTAATATATTGTCTAAACAAAAAACATTTGAGATATTACTGATATCTCAAAACTCCTAATTAAACTCAATGCTCTCAAAAGATCTCAAAAGTCTCTAAACAACTTCACAGCTGTCTAAAGGAAAAGGTATTACAAAAAGATCTGTTCTTTTATTCCCTATGGGACATATACTTACATTATATCACTTAAAATATTACTGTATGATCCGACACTTACACAAAACAGCGCTGGATTCTGACACATATTAGGTGAGACCTCAGCGTTTTCTCTTCATAAAGAATGAAACACACGTCCTGATGTGACTACCGCCCGCCCTCTCTCTAGAGAAAGCCAAAGGTTCTCCAAACATCTGGATCCCATCCGGAGGCTGTGGTTGGTCAGCAGCGCAGATGTTTGCAGACATGAGAACATCCCATGGGTTGCTGGCATCTGTAGCCGGTCAGCTGCTGCCATTACACCACACTGATATATTACTCAGATGGGGAAAAGCTTGATGTTTCATTCAGTGTTTGTGTGCAGATGTGGCAACATATGGCTGTGCTTGTCTGTTTGTTTGTTTGTTAGTTCACATGCCATCATTCCTACATTAAAATCACTCCCCTCTGAAGAATTACTGAGTGACACAATATAAATCTTACGCTCAAAAGTCATAAAAGTATTTGTCTCCAGTGCACATATGCTGGATATTAATGTGAAACATGTGAACACAGTCTGTAAAGTCATAGCACATTATTCTCACATCTGAAAATATCTCAGGATTTGCTTCAACACATTCTTCCACACACTATATATATATATATATATATATATTAAGTACATATATATGCATTAAGTACACACACACACACACACACACACACATATATATATATATATATATATATGTATAAAATACAACAAATACTACTACTGCTTAAATTTTAACTTTTCACAAACACACACACATACTGTATATATATATATATATATGCACACATACACACATATATATATATATAGGTATATGAATATTAAATAAATATATTAAGTATATATAGTTACATTTGTACTTTAAAAATGTACAATTTAAATAATATACCTTACTTATTTAATTTATTACAGTATGTACAGATTACAGTAATGAAAAAGAAAAAAAATTAATTCTGATTTTTAAAAATTTCAAAAAAGTTAAAAAATAAAAAAATAAAAACAAATAAAAAAATATCCTTTTTGGGGGTGAAATATGAGATTCACAAAGGAGCTCTGATCTTTTTTAAATTATATCATTAAAATATCAGATGTTATATTAGATATTTTCTATGACATGCACACATTGCAGTTTCATGGAAAATAATGTATATGCCTAAAAGCAACAAAAACCACTGTTAAGTATGCAAAGCGTTGATGGATACACAACTGTCACAACAGCTAATTTTACAAATGCAAACCTTTCCACACACTGTCAAGGCATGTAACATCTTAAAGACATTTCTTGAAAACAATCTTCTACAAAAACACCATTGCACTACTTTGTTAAAGTACTGAATACAATCCCAAATCAGTGGATTGGTCTCTGTTCTTTAGCATGCCTGGCAACATGGTCTGAGAGTATTTCACAGATCTTTGAGCTCTACATGTGGTCTGACTGAGTCCATCAAGAATCTGGAAAGAGCTTCAGACGGCAGAAACATACATCAGCAATGACATGCATCTCCACACATGGATACCAATCGTAACTGACCACACCAGCATCTGCTTATAGTTTGATCAATCTGAATCATAGCATCCCCCACACAAAAGTACTGTGAAGATATCAGATACTAGTAACCACAGTCTCAGACGTATTCTCACTAACATCTACAGTCCTGTATGAGAAATGCAAAGGCCATTCCAGAAAAAAAAAATCTGCAGTCATGAATATTGGAGTATTTTTAGGAGAGACTCACCCAAATCCTCACAGCACATGTCCATAGAATCTGAGGAACAATCACTCAGATCCTCAAGAGAAGCTTCAGTCTTTTCTCCAACCTGCAGCCTGAGGCACAGAAAGAACGACAGACAAAACCTTAACAAGAAAGAAATCATGTGTCTTTGTAGCATTAATTCTTAAAGGGAATTTTTATTACTCAGAGGATGAGACTTTATTTCAGCATATAATTTTACATAAAAATAGTAGCCACAAATGAGACAATAGCTGATCATATACAGTACAGAGCTATAAAATTATAGCTCCATTAATATTAGAATATATTATATATATATGTACACAGAATTATACATATATTGTATATAGCAATATTACTGGTCAAATCATTTTAAATTAACTTTTTTTTAAATAATATTGAAAATTGAAAATTGAAAATTGAAATGGAAATTTTTTGACTTTGATGGACCAATAAACTTCTGGCCAATTCAAGTAAGCTAATGATTATTTATAATTATAAATATGAGCCTATAAAAATAAGCCTATTATTATTTATATAAAAAATTCTATACTATTTTCAATACTTTTTGTCTAAATAATCCAAAAAATAAAACACCAAAAACTAAAATAAATCATTTTAAATGCAAAAAGTGAATTTAGGCATCACAACATAGTATAAAAATTAATATTTATTTTCTAGTTTATATTTAATAGTGTTACTAAATTATCAGTGTTTTTGTAAATGTATTTACATATTGAAATTTCAAAATAAAATAAAAAATGTTTTTTTTTTTACTTTGATGCACCAATATTAAAATTCTGGCCAATACAGTATGCCAATACTTATTTATAATTATAAATATAAGCCTATATAAAGCATGCATCAGATGACAGCCAAAGTCATTTAAATGTAAAAAAACAGAGAAATTGAGCATGCACATTTTAATATTGGCAACATATGTCCAATAGAACCAATAGCAAAACATTTTTTAAAAATCTGAAATCTCACCTGAATCTGAAAGGTGCCACTGCCGCCATGCGTGGAGACTCCCTTCCTGCAGGACACACGATTGAGAAATTCACCTGGGATTTAGATGCAATTGTTCCTCTGTTACCATCACCACGAGCCAGCATTTTCATCCGCTGCTTCTGACAGTCCCTTTGAACACCAGCTGACGTTTCCCAAATGACGTTCCCGTTGGTTGGCTTGCGAAGGCCTTGACCCGTCTGGTGCTCTCTAGAAGATTCAACAACCTCATTGTCTAGACTCCTGAAGTGATGATGGCCAGATCTCCAGTTCTTGTTGGAGTGTCTCTCCATGTCTCTGAATCCATCCTGGGGCAATAAGCCCCTCCGGAGGTTGTTTTTGAATGGGATCATCTCTCGTTTGGGCACATGCGGGCTGCTGTGGGCCGAACGGGGAGCAAACGACGGCCTGTTTGTGCCACCAGATGTCCCTTGAGCTCTCTGTGAGGACTGAGTTCTCGATCCGGTCTCTTTGAGTAACTCCTTTGAGACCGATTGAGAAGATATGGATGAGGTTGAGGAAGAAAGCGAGGAAATTCGCACAGCCAGCTGGTTTTGGGCAGCAGGACCCAGTAAAGTGCCGCTCAAGCCCTTGGTGTCCTGCTTGGAGAGGCTGGTCAGGCTCCGCGGCAGAGGAATACCAGAGCTGCTCTGGGACATCGTCTTCAGGTTCAAACCACCGCTCATAGTCGAGGAAGATCACGAGATGAAGCTCTGGGAGAAGACGTCAAGAGAACATGATAAGATTTAGAGAGATTTTTTTTTTGTCTAAAAATGTGACTATATTTACTCATATTTATCGAAACATCATGACTGGCAATGATCAAGACATCAACATCAAGATGGCATGATTGGCATCTTCAGGATGGTTTACTCTCATGCAGTACAAGAGAAGAGAAAGAAGCAAATAAATACTACAATATATATATATAATAAAATAATCAGTGGTTGTGCAAGTATAAATAATAAATATAAAAACATAATATAAATAAAAATATAAAAAGTACAAGAGAAGACAGAGTAAAACAAATCAATAAAATTGATTTTAAATAAAATAAAAACACACACAGTGTCCTTGCATATTATGAATACAAAATTAATCAAATGTAAACAAAAGTACAAAATAAATTAAAATAAAAAGGTAATTCATCAGTGGAGGTAGGGGAAATATAAAAAGATAGTTATTAAATAAATATAGTCTTAAATTAGGACATTTTAATCATTTATGAATATAGAAAATATATATATATATATTAAAAATACTTTAAATGCTTTTTTTTAATCATAATTTCATATGTCATAAAATAAAATAATATAAAATAAAACCATCCAGTGGCTGTTGGGAAATACAAATAAATCTAGACAGACAGAGAGACAGATAGACAGACAGACAGATAGATAGATAGATAGATAGATAGATAGAGCACTGAATTTATTTTCCCCCTCTTTCAAGCTCATTTGCATAGCTGATAATAATTAGGACTCAGTGACACACGGCAGTCGTTTTGGCCGGACCGGCTGCTCTTCTCTGGAGGGGTTTGATCAGAGGTCTGCTGACAGACTGGCACCACTTGGCACTCCCAGCATGCACTGCCAGCCCTGTCTGCCATCTCTCAAGCTCTTCCAGTGACTGGCACCAAAACTGATCCCTTCCTCCCAATAATAGGACCTCTATTACCTCTATTGAGTCTCACTGTTGTCCACTTCTGCTCAAATTAAGTGTTTTGATTTATCCTGTGCCATAAGTGCCATAAGAGACAGCCAAAGTCATTTAAATGTAAAAAAACTGAGAAATTGAGCATGCACAATCAAAATATGCCCAATACAAACCAATAGCAATAAATTAAAAAAAAAGAATCTGAAATCTCACCTGTATCTGAAAGGTGCCACCGCTGCCATGCTCGGAGACTCCCTTCCTGCAGGACCCGCGTTTGTGCCGTACGCCTTGGATTTAGACGCAATCGTTCCACTGTTGCCGTAACCACGAGCCAGTATTTTCATCCGCTGCTTCTGAAAGTCCCTCTGAACAGCAGTTGACGTTTCCCAAATGACGTTCCCGTTGGTAGGCTTGTGAAGGGCTTGACCCGTCTGTTGCTCTCGAGAAGATTCAACAACCTCATTGTCTAGACTCCTGAAGTGATGGTGGCCAGATCTCCAGTTCTTGTTGGAGTGTCTCTCCATGTCTCTGAATCCATCCTGGGGCAACGAGCCCCTCCGGAGGCTGTTTTTGAATGGGATCATCTCTCGTCTGGGCACATGTGGGCTGCTGTGGGCCGAACTGGGAGCAAACGACGGCCTGTTTGTGCCACCAGACGTCCCATGTGTTCCCTGTGAAGACTGAGTTCTCCATCTGAGTAACTCCTTTGAGATGGATAGAGACGATATGGATGAGGCTGAGGAAGATAATGTGGATGTTCGTCCAGCCAGCTGGTTTTGGGCAGCTGGACCCAGTAAAGCGCCGCTCAAGCCTCTGGTGTCCTGTTTGGAGAGGCTGGTCAGGCTCCGCGGCAGAGGAATACCAGAGCCGCTCTGAGACATCGTCTTCAGGTTCACACCACCACTCATGGTCCAGGAAGATCACGAGATGAAGCTCTGAGAGAAGACGTCACGAGAACACGATCAGATTTGACAGCTCGATAAAATTATTTGTTTTTATCTAAACATGTGACTATATTTAGTTATATTTATCTAAAAATCATGAATAAACATAAGGAAAGCAAGCTGACAGCATGGTTTGCATTTTAAGAATGGTTTACTCTCACACATTACAAGTGAAGAGAGAGAAATACTGTAAATGCTACAATATAAATAAAATAAAATAATCAGTGGAGGTTGTGCAAGTATAAATATTAAATATTAAATAAATAAAATAAAATATAAAACCATCAGTGGAGGTTGTGTAAATAATAATTTTTTAAATAATGAATCAAATAAATAAATAATATAATAAAATTAGTTGCGTTTTTTATTTTTACAGTACAAGAGAAAGGAGCATAACCAATAAATAATATTATATAATATAAATAATTAGAAAAATCAATAGTTGTTGTGTAAATTTAAATAATAAAGATAAAAACATAATATAAATAAAAAATATAAAAAGTACAAGAGAAGACAAATCAATAAAATAAACACACACAGTGTCCCTGCATATAATGAACACAAAACTAATCAAATGTAAACAAAAGTACAAAATCAAATTAAATAATTAAAAATAATAATAAATAAAAATAAAAACAAAATAATCAGTGGAGGTAGGGGAAATATAAACATACTTAAATATACATAGTCTTAAATTAGGACATTTTAATCATTTATGAATATAGAAAATATATATATATATATTAAAAATACTTTAAATGCTTTTTTTTAATCATAATTTCATATGTCATAAAATAAAATAATATAAAATAAAACCATCCAGTGGCTGTTGGGAAATACAAATAAATCTAGACAGACAGAGAGACAGATAGACAGACAGACAGATAGATAGATAGATAGATAGACAGATAGATAGATAGATAGATAGATAGATAGAGCACTGAATTTATTTTCCCCCTCTTTCAAGCTCATTTGCATAGCTGATAATAATTAGGACTCAGTGACACACGGCAGTCGTTTTGGCCGGACCGGCTGCTCTTCTCTGGAGGGGTTTGATCAGAGGTCTGCTGACAGACTGGCACCACTTGGCACTCCCAGCATGCACTGCCAGCCCTGTCTGCCATCTCTCAAGCTCTTCCAGTAACTGGCACCAAAACTGATCCCTTCCTCCCAATAATAGGACCTCTATTGTGCCTGTAGAGTCTCACTGTTGTCCACTTCTGCTCAAATTAAGTGTTTTGATTTATCCTGTGCCATAAGAACCACTGAGTCACATGACTGTAGCGATCGCTCATGGCCACATAAATCTATAACAATGGTCATATATTAACACTGATTCTGCATTTAACATCTGCAGATTTCTGTAGGTCACTAGCCCTGAGTCCAGATCAGCAGCAGCTCTGTGAGGACTGATGAAAGAGATATTGATAACGAGACCCTTTAGGGCTCTGGTGACCTGACAGAGACGTCACATCCTATTAGTGCTCATTATCTGCACTGACAAGTGACAAATTTGGAAATATGGCCAAGCCACCATGGCACCACATGTGGGGTGTGTGTGTACATAAATACATCTTGGCTGTAAGTTCTATGACAAAGACAGCAACTCAAACTGACCTAAAATGTTGCTTACGTGCATTGGATTACCGGGGCTAGTTGTCATATGTGGAAGGGCTATATAGCTCAGTCACTATAGAGCAAAATGTCCTATTATACTCCATAAACTCCTATTCACAATAAAACACACACATGCAACTATGTAGTGAAAGTATATTATAAAGATGATAAAGGTTAAACATGAATACAAATTCATAATTTCTACAGATTAAATACAAATGCTGTGTAAAATGACTTTATTTTACTTCAGACAATATTTCATAATTCAAACAAAGTTAATTTTCTCAGATCAGTGTCAATAAACAACAGGCTCCCATTGTGACAACTTACCCCAAATAGTGTGACAACATGCCCCGCTATATTAAATCATTGTATGCTTCCAGTTATATGCCTTTACGGATATAATCATTCAAAAATAAATCTTTTCTGTGAAATAAGCAAAAAACTGTCACAACTAGCCCTGTTCTCCCTTATAAGCAACAAATAAACCTAATGCAACATCACAACATTTTTTTAAAAAGCACCTGAAAAACACATTGAGCGAATCACATCACAATGAACTCATGCATATGACAGCATTACTTCAGTCTCACTATAAATCAATACAAATGCTGAGCCAGGTGCCTCATCCAGACTGGAGTAATCATGACACAGCAGTCCAGAGCTCAGAGGAAGAGGATTTTAGATAAGTGCCCCAGAAAACAACTACTGAGCAGCTGCTGATTGAATTCTCTGTCTACCACACACACCGATAGAGAGATAAACACATCTGTGATCTCTCCCAAAATACTCAACAAACAACCTAAAAAAGCCTAAACCATTCAGACTGTATGCACTTTTGAATATAAGCCATTAAATCTCACCTCTTGTTAAAGAGTTGCTGTGAATTCCTACAGCATCCCTGTGATAACCTTTACTGCTGTCTGCAGAATCTCAAGGGAAGGCGGTGACTAAAGACATCTGGACATGCAGGACAGCCAGCAAGGACACGTTTCAAGCCAATGAGGAGGACAAATAGAGAGCAGGAGACATTTGCTCTCCCTCCCCTCAGCGAGAGACACACTTACACAGTGTTTCCTCAAACCCAGACACACGCCCTCATGCCAGCGGCTCATGTTTATGTTTGTCATCATGACATCATGCCAAAAGCAGTCTCTTGAGGACGTGCCCTTGACAGCATGCATTTAATATTAAATTACACCAAATTACCATTCATTTCCATTGGCATTATGCAACCCACTCACAGCAATCGCCAAGCAAACCTAGCAACCTCTCAGAACACCCCAGCAACCACCTACAAAACGATAGCAACCACCTACAACTACTCTGAACACCCCAGCATTCCACTAGCAACCACCTACAACACCATACCAATGCCCTGGCAACCACCCTAAACATCCTAGCAACTACCTAGCAATGCCCATACAACCACTCTGAACACACCAACAACCACCTACAACACCATAGCAATGCCCTAGCAACGACCCTGAACATCCTAGCTACTACCTAGCAACACCCTAACAACCACCTACAACATTATAACATACTTAACAATGCCCATACAACCACTCCAAACACCCCAGCAACCAACTAGCAGCACCCAAGCAACCACCTACAACACCATAGCATACTTAGCAATAGCAACCACCCTGAACATCCCAGCAACTACATAGCAACACCCTAGCAACCACCTACAACACCATAGCATACTTAGCAATGCTCCAGCAATCACCTGAACATCCTAGGAACTCTCAATGCTCGTACAACTACTCCAAACACCCCAGCAACCAACTAGCAACACCCAAGCAACCACCTACAACACCATAGCATACTTAGCAATGCTCTAGCAACCACCCTGAACATCCCAGCAACTACATAGCAACACCCTAGCAACCACCTACAACATGATAGTGTACTTAGCAATGCTCCAGCAATCACCCTGATCATCCTAGGAACTCTTAATGCTCATACAACTACTCCAAACACCCCAGCAACCAACTAGCAACCACCTACAACACCATAGCAATGCCCTAGCAACTACCTACCTAGCAGATCCCATACAACTACCCCGAACGACCCGGTGACCAACTAGCAACTACCTAGCAACCTCCCTGATCCCCTTAGCAACCACCCATTACACTGTAGTAACCACTTAGAGACATCCTACTGTAGTAGCTACCCAAAACACCTCAACAGTCAACAACTCAATTTTGCATGTGCAAACACAGACCACATTTTGTTCTTAAAATCTAAATCTCTAGTTGTGAAATACATAAAGGCTTGGTCCTCATCAGTATGGACAGGGGATTTTGGATCTTAAGCACAGAATATTCATACTGCAGCAGTCAATGTCCTTATGTGACTGGTCTCGGCTTTATATAACAGACCTGGTTTTGTTTGTTAAATTTAGACCCAAGACCCAGATTCAATAATTTATTTATTTTTTGCCACTTCTACACGACCAATTCACTATGTCAGATTGAGTCTGTCAGGGAGGGAGAGAGAGCAGGAGAGTCTGGGTCAAACCAGCCAGAAGATGCTTCAGATCGATTTTATCCAACAGCCTGCAGTCAGGCAGCAGAGAACAGGACAACAGGGTTTTATATATAGCACATGGGGAAAAGTATCGAAAAATAAATTAAAAATAAATAAATTATTTTATTAGTAAATTATTTTTAAAATGTATTATTATTATTATTATTACTACATTATTTTTTTATTAAATTGATAGTTTTATTAAACAAGAATGCATTAAATTAATCTGAAATGACAGCAAAGATGTTTCAAAAGATTTATATTTCAAATAAATGCTGTTCTTTTGAACTTTCTATTCATCAAAGAATCAGTTTCCACAAAAATATGAAGCAGCACAATTGCTTTGAACATTGCTAACAATCAGAAATGTTTCTTGAGCAGCAAATCAGCATATTAAAATGATTTCTGAAGGATCATGTGACACTGAAGACTGGAGTAATGATGCTGAAAATTCAGCTTTGATCACAGCAATAAATTATATTTTACAATATACTCGCATAGAAAACAGTTATTTAAAATTATAATATTTCACCATATTATTGCTGTTGACTATTTTCAATCAAATAAATGAAGTCTCAAAGGACAAGAGAATCAGAAACATAGAATCTCAGAGACCACAAACTATTAAATGTTCTCATTTTAAATCCATATTCAACAAGCTGGTACCTGTTTTCATGAAATCAAACTAAATCTGTCATCTTGTGTCTTAAGCACAGACACTATTACTAACAACCAGCCAGAAATAAAACAGGCAAACTATAATTAAGTAATTATGTTTAATCTTTTTCTCAGAGAGGGATACCTGCCAGTAGCCTTTGGTGAGGTCCAACGTGGAGATATACCGGGCCCTTCCCAGCCGGTCCAACAGCTCATCCACCCGAGGCATGGGGTATCCGTCGAACTCGGAAACCTCATTGAGGCGACGGAAGTCATTGCAGAAACGGAAGGTGCCATCCGGTTTCGGGACCATCACGATTGGGCTAGCCCATGGGCTGCGTGATGGTTCTATCACCCCCAACTTCAGCATCTGTTGAATTTCCTCCTCAATAGCTCGCCGACGAGCCTCAGGGACGCGGTAGGGCCGTTGCCTGACGACGACCCCTGGCGGCGTCCGGATGTCGTGCTGCAGGACGCTGGTCTGCCCGGGAAGAGCGGAGAACACAGGCGAGGGCTGCGAGCTGGTCTCTAGTCCCAACCCACTTCTTCAGAAGGTTGATGTGGTAGAGCTGCTCGGTTCTCCTCCTTCCTGGCTGACGCACACGGTACGTCACCAGCCCAATCTTCTCCAGCACCGTATAGGGACCCTGCCAAGTGGCCAGGAATTTGCACGC